TAGTCCCTCCTTTGAAGGTTTACTGATCATAGTAGTATAGGGTTTGAACTTTGAACCCCTGGCAACCCAGACACCCGGTGCTAGGGCCTTGTTTAGATTGCCTCAAAATTCCAAGTTTTTTCACTCTCTCTCCATCACATCAATTTTTGGACGCATGCATGGAGCATTAAATATAGATAAAAAAAATAACTAATTACATAGTTTGGTTGTAAATCACGAGACGAAACTTTTGAGTATAGTTAGTCTATGATCGGACAAAGTTTGTTAAATACAAACGAAACGTGCTACAGTGTCCAGATTGCAAAAATTTGCAATCTAAACAAGGCATAGATCTGCTCTGGAAAAGACAAAACGTCGTCATGGACACGAAAGATTTGACAACATAGGTTCATTCTTCAAAAACCACAGAGACAGGAAAGGAAAAAGAATTTTGATCAAATCAATGGAAGGAATGATCCCTTACCCGATTTGAATTTTCCATCCTCCTTCAATACAAAGATATGCTTTAAGTTCCTAGACTTTTCCTATAATGACTGCAACAATTTTCACCATTTTGCGAATTTCCATTTTAGATTTCATAACTTTTAGCCTCGGTTCGTGAAGGAGCAGGAAAGGTTTCTATAGTTATGAATCGGGTATAGACACGTGTGTGTGTGGCGGGGGGGGGGGGCTTGGTTACAATTTGAATACGCTGTTACATGTTAGTAGTTTGTAATTTATACTATATTTATTAAAAAAATACAATTCTTTGTTTGGATTGAATTCAACCAAACATTTATGGCTTCACATAGCCATACTATAAAAATATATTTCATGATTAATCTAATGGTAATTATTTAGTGTCATATATGGTTAGTATCTTTTTTATAAATCTAATCGAACTTAATGCTATTTGACTTTCCAAAAGCAAGAGTTGCATTCTTTTTTAAGATAGAGTGGATCCATTAGTGGGGACCAGAATAGAATGTTAGTTGATCTACAAGAGTCTTAATAACCCTGTAGGGTAGAAGCCCGTTAGCAGAGAGTCCATATATATGAGGGGTGGGGCTATAGGTGATATATAGTTATGCCATCCCCAAACCCTAACCGCCACTCCTCTCTCTCAACCTCACCACAAAACCCTTAGTTGCACGTGGTGCTGGCACATTGGTGCACATTGTTTTAACCCCGCACTGATGGATAATGTGAAGATGCTGCTGCTATCACTAGCATAATGTTGATCGACAATGAACGTGAGGTGAATAGGCAAGTCGGGTGCACGCGTGGCTTTTAATCTCGATGAACATCAATTAATAGAAATCTTGATTTTTTTAGAAGCTAGTCTTCAAATCTTGATGAAGATCCATGTTTAGCTGGTTGGGCCAACCATTGCAGTGCCAAAAAAATAGGTGCGTGGCTAGCACCCGGATGTCCAGGCGCTAGCCCCCGTCCGGATGCCTGCGCCGCTACCCTCCCATCCCGTGTCGCACGCCTGCCCGCCCATGTCTCGCCTGCTGCGCCCGCCTACAAGCACATGGGGCCCGCTCACGCCAGTGGGGACCGCCTCCGCATGTGCTCGCTTCCTGCGCCTGGCACTGAGGAGAGACAATAGAAAGGCGAAGAGGGAGATGCAACACTCAGATGCAACAATTGCAACATACGGCTAAAAACAAATGAAACATTTGAAACATGCGTCTAAAACACTTGTAAAAACACCTGAAAAATACTGGAAACCATATAAACAAACGCAATATCCCAGATAAAACACTTGCATCATATGTGTGAAAATATATGCAGCATCCAGATAAACACACTTGCAACATACGTAAAAAATGAAACATTGATAACAGGAGCTTACAACATACGTGTACAACCATTGCAACATATGCAACATCTGTATGAACCAATTGCAACATACCTATGAAACATCCGAAACACTTGAAACATGCGTTTGCAACATGGAGAGGCCGGGGCCGGTCGATTCCAGCCGTCGGGGTCGGAGCTGGCGGCGAGCGGTGGCGCACGAGCACCACCAGCACCCAGCACTAGCGGTACGCTCAAGCACCACCACCAGCCAGCACCACTAGCATAGGGCTTGGCTCGGACGGGCGGGCGGAGCGAGCACCACGACCAGCGACGGGAGGGAGCGGCAGGCGCATGCAACGGGAGGGGGAGCGGCGGCGTGCGCGATGGGAGGGGCCAGAGGTGCGCGCGACTGAAGGCGAGGAGCGGCGGCGCGGGATGGGCGCGTGGCAGCCGCGATGGATGGGCGACATGGTGGAGACAGTCGCTACGCAACAGCGGTGGAAGCGGCCGATACGTTTTGAACACTTGGACTATGCAGGAGTTAGGAAGGCTACCTAGGCCGGTCCACAGACCCATTAAGCAAGCGCCCGGGCGGCCGGATGCTCGGGTGTAATCATTTCTGATAAAATTGAGGTCCACACAAAATGCGCATGATTAGCAAGAGCCAATTATATTGTACTACTATGGAGTTTAATGCCCCTTTGTTCACACGAAAGAACCAAAATTGTACTACTATGGAGTTTAGTGCCTCTTTGTTCACCGGGAAGAACCAAAAAATGGGGTTATATGCCGTATACGTGTGTACTCAAAAGAAGAAAGAATCCGTTGTCCATTGATGTGTTCTTATTGCTCACAGGTGTCGGTCGTTAGTACCGACACTAATGGGTTTGATTAGGACACGGGTTAGCATATCTGGCCTCCAAATTAAGGCGACACAGTTTCCGTCCTTTGATTGAGGAGCTGACACAGGGCAGATAGAGCTAATTTGATCTGCCGAAGCAATGGAGACTTGGACTTGGTATTTCATCAAAAAATGCAGAGTGAAATAATTAGCATAGATTTGGACTGAATGACTAATTCAGTGCAAGGTTATACGATAACACTCATGGGTTTGCTTGTATATCTGGATACGTTCACCTAGCATCAGCACTTAGCAGGGCTCTGAAAACACCCATTAGGCCCAAAAAAAAACTTGGTAGGTTGGGTTAGGCCGTAGACAGGCGACCTGCTACCAGCCGGCAACAGCCAACTAACCTCATCAGATAGCCTACCCGGCCCAGCCGTCACCTAAACTGAAGGCAAATCGTCAAAATATTCTTGTCTAGCACTCCTCCCTCCCTGTACTGTAGCTGTACCAAAGCATTTCAGAAACTGGAAATTGAGAACCATATCCTCGAGACCTCGAGTGATCGAGCAGTAGTTAACTACCTCGCCGCCGGCAGGGGCCAAAATCATGGTGCCACGACCCGTGCTTTAATCGGCAACACAGTTGTCACCCTTGAAACCCTTTGTCCGGAGAAAACGCGGCAGATTAAACTAGTGTGTAACTGCAGGTTGGTAGTGATCTTTGCAAAAGAAAAGAAGGGTAAAAAAGCTAAGAGGCTGTTTACTTGTAGGAATTTAGATTTTGGGGCTACTGTAGCACGTTCGTTTTTATTTGACAAATAGTATTCAAACATAGACTAATTAGGCTCAAAACGTTCGTCTCGCAATTTCCTACCAAACTGTGCAATTAGTTTTTCTTTTCGTCTACATTTAATGCTCCATGCACGGGCCGCAAACATTCGATATGACAGGTACTGTAGCAAATTTTTGGAAGTTGAGGTGGAACTAAACAAAGGCTAAGCTTAGAGAGAACACCTCTTGTTATGTTAATTAATTGGTGCTTCAAATCATTGCAAATTTGCAATGTACGATAGAAAAAGGAGGAGTTAGCCGTACATTAATCACTAGTAATGACGACCAATGCAAGAGAGAAGGTAGCTAGCCTGCAAGCATCCGAAATGAGCTTGCACGCGCACTTGCTTGGCGCAAGTGGCAGTGGCAACTGCGAGCCTGCGAGCTTGCAGCCAGCCAGCCGCACCTTGATTGGCGACGCCTGTGGACCATCATCCTGCTGTGGCCTGCCTGTGGGGCTCTTGACACCTCGAGTTGACCACTAGTTCTTCACGACCGATCGCAGATGACCAGACCGTTTGATGCAGCTTATGTGATCGTGCAGACTCTCTTTGTCGGAGACGCCAGTGAAGAAATGCAGATTACTCTGCTTATTTTGCTTGTTGTTAAGCTGCAACAGAAAAAAAAATACTACTCTATCGCGCTTGACACAGCTTTTGCTTGATCTACGGAGGCTAGAGATTAAACTAAGTTAATTAACAGGGACTACTAAGCTGTCTGCTCCGGTGCTAATAAACAGACGATGATGGCCTTGGCCCCCGTGCCAGCAGCCAGCAGGGACTGGGGAGCCCAGGTACCCAAACGTGCGGCCTCGTCTCGTATTTTGCCGTGGAGTGGAAACACCTGTCCCTGTCACGGCAGATGGAGTTTGTTTGTTTTGGCACACAGCTGTTCGTTAGCCCGCGGGATATGCTAGCAGCTAGCGGCTCCTCTCTTCTCTCCGTTGGAAGACAGAGACGAGGGTGTTGGAATGAGAGGGACTTTTCGCTTTCGATGATTCCAACCAATTCCTTTGTAATTCTGAATTCTCTTCCTCGGAACTGAAAAAAAAATGAACGGGGCTGCAGCAAAAAAAAAGTCCCCCAACTCTGTATTAAAGCAATCAATTAATAAAAGCTTTTGCATTGAAATGTACATCTGTGGACACTGAGGAAAGGAAATTTAAATGGAAATGTCTATTACACGATCGAGGAAATTAGAGAAAATGGAATGAAAAAAAATGGAAATGTCTATTACACAACCGAGGAAATTAGAGAAAATGGAATGTAATCCAATCGAAAGAGCGGCAGCGGTCTTGGGCTGCATATATGGTAATAACTACAGTAATAACAATCAAATTAACAGCGGTGGGAGTAAATCGGCAGTGACCAGTGAGTGCGCCTCTTGGATTAGCACCGACGCCGAGAGCTACGCGAGAAGCAACGCAACATTCGGTAGTACCAAGATTCTACATACCCCTAGCAAGACGCACGGAATGATTGGGTTTACCGCAGCTATGAGCTTCTTCAACTCCGGCGAGCCGGGGGCTCTGCGTGCGGTCAGCACGCGTAGTAGTCGACGAGCTCGTCGAGGGACTCCGGCTGCGGGTCCGCGTTCTCCAGCATCCACAGCAGGTGCTCGAACAGCACGACCTCGCAGCCGACGACGGTAGCGGTACCCGCCGCTCCCCCGTTGGCGCCGCCGCCGCCGCCGGTGCGGTCGACGAGGGTCTGGAACAGCGGGTGGCCCACGAGCTCCTCGGCGATGAGGTACCGGCGCCGCGACTTGCCGACGTAGACCGGGTGCAGGCCCTTGGGCACCTCGTCCGCGCCGTGGAACGACGACGCGCCGCGGCCGCCGGAGACGATGGCCCCGTCGTCGTCGATGGCCGGTGGTGACGTGCGGGCGATGCGGCTGGACGAGTGCCACCTCCTGATCATGCACCGCAGCTTGCCCAGCCCGCCCTTCGCCATTGGATGGGTGCCCTCCGCCGCCTCTTCCCCTTTGATGCGACGCGGTAGCCAACGACCCACGACCACGAATTCTGTAGAGAGAGAGAGAGAGAGAGAGAGAGAGAGGTTTTAGCGAGAGAATTCAGGAGCACGGTGGTGATGATTGGGAAGGCAGCGGAGGCGACGACGGCCAGAAGCTGCTTATATAATCGGGAGCTCCTCAAACTTGAGAGGGCAAACTGGCCGGGGACCGCATGTCGACGGGCTCGTCGGACGAGACCCTGGAGCGTATTTGCCTGGGTCCAAACGCTGCCTGGACGGCTGGACCTTGCATGTGCTTCGTTTGGATTGAAACCTGATGATTCCTGAGCCAGGCAAGTGCGTGTGCAGCGAGGCAAGCAAAATTCAGCCTGTTCGCGTGGGCCTATACGATCGTAAATGATAGTAAATTTTTAGTCGAAATAGTATTTTTCTCTCACACAAATCAGCCAGCAGTACTTCTTTACGAACCAGCAACGAACCAGTCCAGCCAAACGAACAGGCTGATTGTGCGCCTGGGGCTAAATCCAGAGGTTGCCTAGAACACAACTTAATCATTATTTTTATTTGAAAACATAATAATCTGTTACTATTAGTCTGTTATTAAATATATGAGAATTTGTTATTATAAACATACAATATTAGCGTGTAAATTATAATTAAGTTGTTAATTGTAGTCAACTTTTTATTAAATTATTTTTAGTTAATAAAAAAATGATATTAATCTAAATCATCTAGTTCATTAATCAAGCTATATAAGTATATATGCTAATCTCACATCATAGATATTTTAATACACATCCATGTTATCCATATCCTCTCATTAATATTCTCAGGTACAGACCTCCAACCAAACATTTTTTAGACTTGCCTGACGAGACAATTATCACCAACTTTTGTTGGTGACAAAAACCACTCAGGCATCCTTTGAGCACAATAGCGTTGGAAGTGAAGTGTTGAATCGAAGATTTGTTGTAAGATTTACCAGACTAGCATAATTTGAGAGAAATTTTGTACCATAGGCAGTTTCGTATGTCAAAAATGCTTGTGGTGTATTACTGTGTTGCAGACGGTGATTTAGGGCTTGTTTGGATTAGCTAAAACTAAAAAAAACTCTAAAACTAATAAAACCTTTTGGATTAGCTAAAACTAAAAAAACTATAGCTAATAAAAAATAAAAGCTGGTTAATAAAAAGCTAGGGTTATTTGGATCACTCAACTTATAGACAGGTGGATTGTTTTTTTTTAAAGGTCAGCAGGGGAAGCCCCCTACCTATTTTTTGGTATTTTATATATATGAAAAAAGGAGTACAATATATACAAGTTACAAGGCTCTGTTTGCTGATACATAAGGGGTACACAGGTGGATTGTTGATACATATTGATGTAAATGTCTCTGTTTGCTGCTACAAAAACTAGGTTGGAGCCACCTAATGGATTATTGCTAGTTGGGTTATTGTCCTTTTATTAGTTATTCAATAAGCTTATTACCTCTGTTTGGATGAGCTATAACTTTTATTAGCAATCTTTTATTAGTTTTAGTTGATCCAAATAGGCCCTTAGAAAAAGCATGCGCATTTGTAGAGGTACCACATTAAGAAAGCACACGTGAAAAACTATTTACACAAGTAATTGATGTAATAAGCACATATAAATAATACTCCCTCTATTTCAAATTATAAGACATTTTGACTTTTTAGATATATTGTTTTATTATGTATCAGACATATTTGTATATCTAAATGCATAACAAGAGCTACGTATCTAGAAAAGCCTAGACATCTTATAATTTGGAATTGCGGGATAGTAGAACGATACCCCACATATTGCTGCTAGACTTTCTTAGGAAATAAAAGTGTTGCATATATGAGTTGGACATACATGTGTTCTTTAATCAGTTCTGATAAAAGGCAAGGCAATAGAAAAATCCAATACAAGCAACTAACAGAATATTAGATCAAATTATAAGATGATGAAAAAGCATAAACAAATAGCTTTGTTTGGATGCCTTGTATTTTTGATAGATTTAAAATAATAATTAAAGATAGTGGATGTAACACCCTAGGTGTTTAGGCTTCCACTAAATTGCATTTCATTTCATAAACATATGCATCATCTATGTCATCATTGCCATTGTTACTAAAACATGCATATGCAACATTTTCAACTGTGTATGTTTCCTGCTTGATTGTTGTAAATAGTATTGGTGTAATCTGTGAATGCAACATAAATTTCTCACATCTTGAAGCATGGCAAAATGGTAGTAATGTGACAAGTATAGGATAACAACCAGGTCATGCAACATGTGAAACATTGTATTGAAACATATGAATGAATTGCTTGTTTTAATTGCTGTATCACATGTGATCATTAGAAGGGGTATAACAACTTTGTAAAGTGGTTGATCATGGTCTAATACACCTTAACTACACTTAGGTTACTTGTTGGGACATTGTTCATGTAGATCAAAATGACCAAAATGCCCTCAAGTGCAAGTTTGACTTGAATTGACCCTTGGAGTGTCATCGTTTGACTGATTCAAAAGTCCAACCTAGAGACTTTGCATGGCTGTGCACTCTTTACAAAAGTTGTAGCTAATTTATCAAGGAACAAAAGTTGTTTTATGACCAACTCATGAAAATGGCTAGAACATGCTCAAACATGGCCCACAAGTCCGAAGTACATGCTGATTTCATACTTAGCAAATTTTTCTAAGTCCTAAAGTGAAGTACAGTTTCGTGTACCCATGTTTGGAGCCGTGTATCTCCCTGACCGAGCCAAACTAGCTTGAGCTCCAGTGGAAAGAATTGTAGTTCACGTATAGATGAGCAACTTTGTTAACTATGGCATAGTCTAGATCGCCACGGATTAGGAAATAATCATTGTCAAAGTATCGTTGTCAGGCTCAGAAGGGAACACTGAATCGAAGCTACAGTGATCGAGTTTCAGAGTTCAGTCGACGCGTGGGTGACACTCGTCGCCGACCTGCTGTCGCGCTGGCCACGCGCCGTGCGCATCCTGGCGTCGCAGCCGCACCTTGAAGCCACCTCGCGCCTGCCCGAACGCACTCGCCCGTCCCATTTCGCATTTCCTCGCCTCCCACCGCACGCAGCAACCGAGCCGCAGCCGTCCGCCATTGCCAGCCCACCTTCGCCTCCGCCTAGCTTCCACGCCGTTGCGAAAACGCGTTGCTCCGTTCACCTAGAGCTTCGCCGTGATCCCCTTTACCATCTCCACCTCACCGTCGGGTCGATCGTGCATTGGTAAGGGCGTATTCGCTGTTCTCCCCCACCGCAGCCATGGCGGGAGCTCGCCGGAGTTGGCGCTCCATGCGGCCAGCTGTCCTCGCGCCATCCCATCCCCTCCTCTGCCTCGCGCTAGGTCATAGGAACACCACCGAAGCTCGTAGAGTCACCGTTAGGGGCTGTGTCGCCGTCAGTTCGCCGGAGCCGGCCGTGCCGTGGCTGTGCGCCGCCGTGTCAGTCGCCGACCCCTCTAGCCACTACCCTAGCACCGATTGAGGTCACCACTAGATGCGCATGATCAAGGCGAACGTCGTAGCGTAGATGGTCTCGCCGGAGGAGCCACCGGCGGTGAACTACGCCGCCGTCAGCTCCTTTCCCCTGTTTCCCTCGCTGACGCGCGGGCCCTCCCTGTCAGCCGCCGAGGCTGAGGCGGGAGCCCAGCGTGGGCCGCGTCGCATTGGGCCGCGCCAGCGCGTGACTCGTGGGCCGCCGTTCCTTGGGCTGGCCCGAGTATGGCCGAGTTTTGTTTCGTATTTTGCTTTGCTTTATTATTTCACAGAATTGTGTTGTTATTCAAAAATATGTAGCTCCTAGTATATAGATCCAAATGATGTGGTTTTAATTTTGTTGAGTTCCTGGTCATGTCTAGTATTTAACAAAAATATTATATGAGCACATGTTTTAGAAATTTTTGATGATTTAAATAGGACTTTGAAATGTGTTTTTAGATGCATGCAAACTTGTTTGAATTTTATCTTGAGTTCCTGTGGTCCAAAAATTATGAAATTTTGTGGGCAGTCTATTATTGCTTGTTAGAAGCCCTGGTTGAAATTTCAGAGCTAGTGCATGTGTAGTTTTTAAGTTATAGAATTTCCTTTTATTAATGGGTGGATCTTGTGTGAATTTTCATAATTTTTCTATAGATCCAGTGAAGGTGAAATCTGATGAGTGCTATTCTTATGCTAGAATGATGCTAGGAAAAATGGGAAATCTGTTGCTTGACACTTTTTAATAAGGTTTCCTAATTATGCTCAAATTAGACATGTCACCTGCTATTTTGGATACAGCAAGTTATGTTTGCCCAATGGCTTTGAAATTTTTATGGTAGTCTATGTGCAGCATGAGATAGCTACTATAATTTTTGTAGATTTTTATGAATAGTTTTACTATATATTGCTTAAATCACCTAATTAACTAAATAAATTGGAAAAGGATATTAAATAAATTATTTAGAAGTTGGCACTATACTTTCTAATGTTTCTTGGGTATGAAAAACAAGTTGGTAAACTTGGATTGATCAAATTATGCTTTTGCATCATCATTAAATAATTAAGTTAGCAACCCTGCCATTGCGGGACAGATTCTAGGTTTACTGGAATTTGATTTGGTTAACTTAAGAATCATGCCTTGATGTTTACAAATGAATTGTAGAGAATTTCATGAGCTTTCCAGAATGTCCTTTTGCAAGTCATTTGGATTTATAGAACTCTGGTTATGATTGAATTAAGTGACTACTTGTTTGCATATGAAGCTTTAACTGTAATTTTAAGTATGTATTTACTAGTTCTAAGTTTGTGGTAATGTTCCTAGGTGTTAGGCCTTTAACTGAAGATGAGCATCTTTATCTTAGGTTATACAAGTTAGGTAAGTTGCTCTTGTTATTTAAGTTAAGTTGGATACATGCTTAAAGTGATTTGAATAGAGCTAATTACTCGGTAGAACGAGTGTCCAAAGATG